CACCCAAGTCCAACGTGTGGATTTCCCCAGACTACGCGATTCTCCAACACCGGTTCAGTCGTCCTGCAATTCAATTCTGACACCATCTACCTGGAGATAACGTCAAATTCCACAGGTTAAAGGGCTCAGTTCTACAAGACTGCCTCCCACCTCCGCCCCCTTTAGATGCTGGTCACAAGCCCAGGTTGTCACCTGTGCTTCCGACCAACTAGCTATAAGATCAGAGGTTCCGGCGAGCGCCCCCCCTCACCTTGGGTTTGATTAATTTGCTAGAGTGGCTCATAGAACTTACATTTTACTCACTAGATTGCCAGCTTATTATAAAAGGATAGAACTCAGGAATCGCCAGACAGGAGAAATGCATAGGACATGGTATGGGGAAAGGATGTGGAGTTTCCATGCCCGCTCCAAGTGTTCTACTCGCCCCTAATCTCCACGTGTTCACCAACCTGGAAGCTCTCCAAAACCCATCATTTTGGGTTTTTATGGATGCTTCATTACGTAGGCCCAAGTGACTAAATCATTGGCCACTGGCGGCTGAACTCAATCTCCAGCCTCTAATCACATGGTTGGCTGTTCTGGCCACCAGCCCTCATCCTTAGGTGCATCCAAAAATCACCTCCTTTTTTTTTTTTTTTTTAAGGTTTATTTATTTATTTTGAGAGGAGGGAGGGGTGGAGAGAGGGAGAGAGAGAATTCTTTTTTTTTTTTTTAATTTTTTTTTTCAACATTTATTTATTTTTGGGACAGAGAGAGACAGAGCATGAACGGGCGAGGGGCAGAGAGAGAGGGAGACACAGAATCGGAAACAGGCTCCAGGCTCTGAGCCATCAGCCCAGAGCCCGACGCGGGGCTCGAACTCACGGACTGCGAGATCGTGACCTGGCTGAAGTCGGACGCTTAACCGACTGCGCCACCCAGGCGCCCCTGGAGAGAGAGAATTCTAAGCAGACTCTGTGCTGTCAGCATGGAGCCCAACACGGGGCTCGAACTCAAAAACTGTGAGATCATGACCTGAGCCCAAACCAAGAACCAGATGCTTAACCAACTGAGCCACCCAGGCACCCCCAAAAGTCACCTAACAGAAGACACCTTAAATTGCTCTCTTCACAGGAAATTCCAAGGGTTTTAGGAGCTCTGTGCCAGGACCAGGGGGCAAAGACCAAATATATATTTATTATAAATCACAATGTTATCAGAAGGTTGCACCAGCATTCTGTCCTCTCATTACAACAGGAGAACAACGTTCTGGACCTCTCTCTCCATCTAAGGTGCCAAGTGCCATGACCGGGTCTTCCCAACATGAGCTAGCATACAAAGAATCTTTTCTGAAGTGGTCTCATCAAGACACAGCATCTGAATATCTTTTGGTTGAAGAGTGATGTGGACAGTAGAGTGTCAATCCAGGAGAGAGGAAAAGGAGGGGAAAATGGAGAGGTTGGGAGTGAGCAGACACTTGAGAATCTATTTCTTACAGCTAGGTTTTTGTGGAAAGAGCCTTTAACATCCAGCCCTATGCAGGAGGGCGGGGAGTCCCTTGGGCAGAGGGAGACAGGAATCCGATGGGTTCTGGCCACAAGGCAGACCAAGCAGCATCTGAGCAGACCGAAGGTCAGACAACAACACAGGGAAGAGGAGGAGGACAAAAGGAGAGGTGGGGAGGAACTGACATTTATTGAGCACCTACCGTAAGGAAGGAGATTGAGCAAAAAGAAAACAAAATGACAAGCTGGGGAGAAGTCACTGCGGCAGATATGTCTGGTTTTCCCCTCGTCTTCATCATCCTCGATAACCAATCTCTACGGTCAGCCACGTGCCAAGTCCTGAGGCTGGGATTACAGGAAGCAGGTCCTTGCCATTGGAGGCTCACAAGTCTCCTTGAGGAAGCAAGACCTAAAGATACGACAAGCCATAGTAGCACATGCTCTGTCAGTGGATGCCAACTAGTTAAGTGTCAGAAACTGAGGGAGGGATTGCAGTTCCCTGGTTTGGGGAGGGTCCCCGGGGAGAAATCCGGCTTGAGTTTGGATGCTGGGTAGCACACAAGTGGAAAGGAGGGACAAACTGGTGTGGACAAGAACAGCAAAAAGGACATGGGTGGTGTGTTCAAAGGACTGTGACCAGCAGTTTATTATTCTTGTTCTATCACTTTGTGTTTTGGGGCCCTTTCACATACGTCACCTCCGGAAATGACTCTCTTGTCCTTCATAAGCCCAGCTAAACCCTGAAACGGATGGCCTTCAGGGGGTTCCACAGAATGAAATGAACTCCTACTATGTGTAAATCATTGTTAAGTATTGCAGAGTATGCAGAAAAGTGTAAAATATAGTCCCTGCCCTCAAGGGCAGAAAGGATTTTCCTTCTGCCAGATGGCCAGTGAAAGAGATTCGGGATGACTCTGCAGCAGTGAAGTCCTATGTCTGATAAATGGCAGCAGGTTCTGGGCAGCATGGACAAGTCCAAGGAAAATTAGATTGGCCATCTATCAATGTTCCACTTGTGGGTGGTCCAAGGTATTCTGGTGACTCTGCAGTTCTCTTCTCAGAATTAGTTACCGGGCTCAGTCCTGTGTCTTCCATATTCTTCCCCAGGACATTCCTTAAGCACAGAAGCCTGTCTGCAGCCAAACACCAGTTCAGAATCAGAAGCCAGAGTAATTGCAGATGTACCCGTAACCCACCCATGGCTGGGCCACTGAGTAACACCCCAATCAATGAGCAGTCTCAGACTCCGCAATTCATCCTGGTAAGGAAGAGGCATTAGCACAAGAACGAAAGAACCAAAATAAGACCACACATATGGATAACTTCTAAACTGGTCAACCCTGGACAAAGAAGTCTGAAAATCTCTATCTGGCCCGACAGAAACACAAAGCAACCTCATCCTGGCCCTTAAAGCACCAGCTAGGTCTGAGTACGAGAAAGCACAGGTGAGTACCATCTGAAACTAACTGAAATGCAAATTCATCTTGGGCATCCTCACAGTCTGATGACGGAGCTACCGCCACGTTGGAGCGGAGAAGATTCCAGGAACTTTCCAAGCAGCATGGGCGGAGTTGCTACTTACATGACAGAAAGGGCAGATGTCTGTCAATCGGTTCTCAAAAAGTGAGTTATGGGGATATAAAGCAGAGAACTAGCCACATGGGTCAGTCAGTAGGCAGAAGACTGAAGACGGCCGGGACTCACTCTGGCATATTTGACCTCCTGCTTCCCCAGATGACTGAGGGCTAAATAGATGGGATCTCTGGGACCTTGAGGGTCCGGGCTCTGAATGTTTGGTTGGAAAAAACTCTTTTCAAGGCTAAAACGTACCAAAGGATGTTTGGACGTATTCTGAAGAATGAATTCACATTCAGCCATAAGAAAGAATGAAATCTTGCCATTTGCAGCAACATGGATGGAGCTAGAGAGTATAATGTGAAGTGAAATAAGCCAGTCAGAGAAAGACAAATACTGTATGATATCACTCATATGTGAATTCAAGAAGCGAAACAAACGAGCAAAGGAAAAAGAGAGAGAGACAAACCAAGACTCTTAACTAAAGAGAACGAACTAATGGTTACCAGAGGGGAGGTGGGTGGGGGGATGGGTGAAAAAGGTGACGGGATTCCAAGTACATTTATCATGACGAGCACTGAGTAATGTATAGAATAGCTGAATCACTATATTGTACACCTGAAACAAATGTCACACTATATGTCAGCTATACTGGAATTAAAACTTAAAGAAAAAAAGAGAATGAATTCATACACTCTAACTGTAACAGAAGCAGCTGACAGATCTCACTTCAAGACAGCTGAAACATAATGCTAGCTGCAGGCTGACCCTAAACGAAGGGACCGTACATCCTGGGTCAGAGCGGATTCTTCAAGACCACCAAGTAGCCCCCCAAAAGCAAAGAAAGCACACAATCTTACAACTCTTTATTTAACCAGGCTACCAAGCAGGAAGATGCTACCGAAACCTGCCAGTCTGACTGATGGCATTCGGTCTTGGATGTTAACAAAAGGTTTGTTGTTGTTGCTTAACTACGTACCTCCACCTTCATGTTTAATTCAGAAAGTTCCATTCCATGAAACTTTAGGCCCTGAGGCAAAGAAGTGAGCACAAGTCTTGTGCATTAATACTCCCAAGGCAAAGGTAAATGGAGCTGCCCAGATAACCCGTGGTAAGGTGTCCCCAAGGACGATACCATATAAGGAATCCGGTTGTTGAGAAAGTGATGACTGGTCCACATATCACTCATATCACTTTTTAAAAGAACTGAGCAATAACTTTCCAAGCAGTTGAACGATGTTTTAAACATACTGGGTTGCTAAAGCTATCAGAAGAAGCATCTAGATCTAAGAGAATAAGGCAAAGCTATATGAATGAACCCCAATTTTTATCTATTCTAAGTATGAATTTATACTTTTGAATGTTAATTATATATATTTGTATACCCCCAAAAAGTATCTGGTGAGCAGAGTTGGCAAAGGGAAAACAGGTTAGCTGACCGGCAGGTGGTAGATATTCTTAATTATTATCATACCTATATGATTATTATTATATTATATACCTATATTATTATTATTATACCTTAATAAAGTATCTTACTCCCTCCACAGTGCACAGACCTTCCTAGGACAGAAGTGTGGCCAAGCTATTGTAAGAACATTTCAAACTCGCCAAGTCTCCAGTCTCAAGATAACGCTGGAGATACAGCCCCTGTCCTTTTGTTCTCTCCCAAGAAAGGTTTAATTAAATATTTCCAGGGTCTTTCCTTTATCCATTTTTAAATCAATAAAGGGCATTTTTGACCATTCACTGCAAGATACTGCATTGGCCATATCTCAAGGGTTGCAATGATTCTGAAGAAAGCATCATTTATTACAGCATCAGGTTGGACTAGAGAGTCCAGAACTTTGGACAACATTTCCAACTCTTCTCTGACCTACTGAGTACTGTTTCTTCCTCTGCCCATTTTTTTTTTTCATTCAGAAAATATTTACTCATTACCTTTATGTGCCAGGTTCAATTCCAGGTGCTGTTGTCTCCAGGACCAATGAGAGATCAAGTTCCTTTCACAAAGCATACATACTAACTAAGAGAACAAACAAATAATTTCAGATAGACCTGAATGCTAGAACAAAAATAAGCAGAGTAACACAGTTCAGTGATGGGGGCAGGACAGAGGAGAAGAAAAGCCCTTCTTTAACCAGGAAAGAGCTCCAGGAAGGGTTTACAGCTCAGTTACAGATCTGAGTTGATTAGCAAAAGATCTGAGGGAAAAGCTCTCCAGGTGAAGGGAACAAACACAAAGGCTCTGAGGTGGCAGAGACAAAGGAACTGGAGGAAGGCCTGGCGGGAGAGATGGATAAAGACAAGTAGGGGAGGTGATAGGGGCTCAACTGAGGGCACTGCATGTTACAGGAAGGAGTTAACATTTCAACCAAAGTGAGATGAGAAACCACTGAAGGGTTTTAAGCAGGAGCTACACCATCCCAACCCTGGGGCAGACTTATTGAGGACCACGGGTATGAAGGACACTAAACAGAGAATGAAGAGGTTTTCTCTAGAAAGGGGCCTCAGGGACCAAGGTGAGACATGAAGCACATCTTCAGGTCATCCTGGGGCCAAACATTAATGGGCTGGCCAATCCTTACCCCCTCCTCTAGCCCAATCCCCTGGAACCGGGATCCCCTGGCAATATCATGGACTTACTCTACTCGGACTGTTCCAGACATGGAGCAGCCACACTGAAGTTCTTCTAAAATCTGATTCCTTGTGACTTTTACTCATCTGCTTCCACGTATCCTTCTGGGCTCTACTGAAAGCTAATAAGACCCCAAGAATTCCCTTCTCAGTCACGTCAGTACGAGTTTCCTTGAGTTACTCATGTGACTTTTTAAACTTTTTATTATGGAAAATTTCAAATGTCCACAAAATCAGAGCGAATAGATAATCTCCATTTACCTACAACCAGCTTCAACAATAATCAACTCGTGACTCACTGTTTTCCGTCTGACATTTTTATTTCCTTCGCCAACTTGGTCATCACATTTGTCTTACACATGTGCTCTGGCCAACCCAGAGGCCTAGCAGCTGACTCACCAGAGACATCCCATTTCCACTACAACAGCCAAACAGTCCGATTACACGTGTGGCAGCCACACTGTTGCTTCATAATGTGAATTCGGTGGACCCGACTTTCCCATCAGAACTTATGCAGTAGGGTTTTTGAACCCAAGTGAAGGAATTTATGTTTGTTCCCAGTGATTTTCACCTTATCAGGTTTAACCCATTCCTCAGGCTATCATGATCTTTTTGGATCTACACTAGTATTTATTCACCATCCCTCCCCCAGCTTTTGCGATACCTCTAAAATTTTGGAAGTAACCAATCATCTCTATCCTGAGTTTAAAAGAGGAGTATGGGGGACCTACCTGGGTGGCTCACTCAGTTGAGTGTCCAACTTTGGCTCCGGTCATGATCTCGCGGTTCTGGAGTTCAAGCCCCAGATTGGGCTCACTACTCTCAGTGCAGACCCCACTTCGGATCCTCTGTCTCCCTCTCTCTGCCCCTCCCCAAACTGTGCGCTCGCTTGCGCGCGCGCGCTCTCTCTCTCTCTCTCTCGCAAAAATAAAACATTTTAAAAAAGGAGTATGAATTACAATGAATGAGTTAGAAAAAGAGCAGAGCCAAAAAGGATAAGAGAAAAACTTTACATTCCTTACGCTATAGATAAGAAACCTACGGCTCAGAGAGTCTGTGTTTGGTTCAAGGCCACCCATTAGGTTAAGGGCAGGACAGGCTCGACCCTAGGCCTCATGTTCAGAGCTCCTTCCATCAGACCTTACCTCTGTAAGTCCTAAGGAGGAAAGAAAATGTGGGTTATCACCAGCTAGGCTAGTGTCTGTGGGGCACTGCAGACTGATTTCTACTCAACTACTAATAATAACCCACTCATCTGGCAAACAATGATCAGATGTTGCTCTCTGCCAGGACTCACTGCCCTCAGTGACTTTCCCAGTCACTGGGAGAAAGTGGGGGAGAGAGAGAGCAATCTCTCAGAGATTAGGCGGGAAATCATTTTTCTCCATTCTTACTTAATGCCTGCAGTATGTGGAACTATGTAACTGAATGAGAGGAAAGTCAAAAACGTTCATTAATAATAAAGGATTCACATCTATTAGAAATGATCATTTGTTATTAAAAAAAGCCACAAAAGATCTCATTTAAAGAAGACCCTTAACAAAATAGACATCTTAAAAATTCACCCCTCAAGAATGCTCTTTACAATTTTTTCCATTTGAGAAAGGAAGGATTAAGTGAGTAACAGTTATAGACACAATTCACGTGGTAACCTGGATAATACACAAGAAGCATCCAAATGTTTTTTTGAGCTTTCTCTTTGTGGTTCACTAATCACCCACCGGGGAGGGCCCAAAGTTCAAACATGCAGAGCCCAGGGGGCCTCTCACCAAAGTGGTGGTGAACTGGGTAGGAAAGGGAGTGTCCTATCAGAGAATAACATGAGGGCGTGGAGGGAGATCTGGGAGCTTTACCAAGAAATGCACAATCCAGCTTCTTATCCAGTCTGCTACCATCATCAACTATCAAACCATTTGCTCCTCTTCGCAAGAGGTGCTCCTTTAGAAGGTCCCAGTAATTTCTGCTTATATTGTTCGACCAGCTGGTTGAAGCGGATTTCAGTCTTATTTCCCTTAGCTTTTCTCCTAGGTGTCTATAAATGAAATAGGGAAAAACAAGATTATGAATTTCAAGCACTGAATATCACCTTACCCTTAACACCACCCAAGAGAGAAAATAAGAAATCCTGTTCACCACAAGAGGTGAACTTCCAGAGAGTGACCCTTAGAAAATGCAAAATGAATTGTCCACTGGCAAGAAACCAGACCAGGAATGCCTAAGAGAAGGGCCCCTCTAAAACACTGCAGGTGCTCCTGAGCTCTAGCCCTTAGATGCTCACGTGAGTCTTCTTGCAAAAGAGTCAGCCCAGAGTCTAGACCTTCCCTTAACAAGAATACTGCTTATGGGATTTCAGAGACAGAGCTCCATAAGATAGTACAACATGGATCAGACTTCCCAGAGACAGATTCCTTGAGGAGGAGGAGAAGCTAATGCTTCCTTTGCCCTTGAAACTTAACAGAAAGGGACTAGGGAAGGAGAAAAGAATGCTTGACCTCAGATGTTCAAGAATGTAGAACAACCATTTTCTACTAAAAGAAACTAGGGCTGCTTGGGAAAATGGCTAATGCCAGGACCAGGGGAAAAATTATGTAAGATGAGCTGCAACATCGGGTTGTACCAGAAAGCAAGGACACTACCACAGACAGGCTCATATCAGAAAGCATCGAGAGCCACCCTGAAGGGCCTTCTGCTGGCCTAAGATGGGACAAGAATAATAACTATATTTGACTGAAACATATCAAGTATACAAAAACTTACGAATCTATAGTACTAAAAAAATCTCACTGGTAGGGCACCAAATCACTACTCTGAAAACGGACAAAGAGAAATGAAATCAAGCATTTATCCTGCCTTTCCAACACAAATGGTATTGCATGGTAACCAAATAGTTGACAAGGGAAAATTCTTTTCTCTGAAGTTCTACTAAAACAACGTAGAACTGAGGAAAAACAAAAACAAAAAAAAAACCCTAAAAAACCACCATCTGGAACCCATATTGAAATCACAGATCTAGATAGCAATCATCAGTATGTGCTAAAACCATCAGGTGAGAAGCTGATGGGAACTTTACAAACAGAAGACAGGCAGACAACCCCTAAGCCTACAGATCTACTGATCAACCCCTGAGCATCACTAAACATGGGGCAACCAGACAGCATGTGCCTTAGGGTGTCAACGCACCAGAAAGCACCCAGCACTACCCATGAAATACTCTTGCCAAGAAAAGTGAACTTGAGGGGCATCCGGCTGGCTCAGTTGGTGGAGCGTATGACTCTTGATCTTGGGTTGTGCCTTCCAGCCCCATGTTGGGTGTAGAGATTACTTAAAAATAAATAAAATCTTTCAAAAAAAAAAAGAAAATGGAACTTGACTCTAATCAAGCCGGTACATCTAGCTACCAGTTTACAGGCACTACATGGTTATCACAGGAACAAGTTAAATGATACCACAAGGAAGCAAGCAGCTAAAGTTAAAACGTAATACATTCTAAAGGGCAAATGACTCAGTTTCTCCAAGGAATTATCAGCATGGAAAAAGGGAGGTGATAAGGAAGAGTATTATAGGGGGAAAAAAAGATTTAAGAGATATAAAAACCAAATGTAATGTGTGGACTCTTTCTGGACCTTGATTTGTACTAGCCAACTATAACAGAACATTTTTGAGGCAACTGGGGGCATTTTAATATGGGCTGCATATTAAATGATATTAAGGGCTTCCTATTAATTTCATTAAGTATGATAATGGCATAATATATGTATATTTTTAAGGCCTGGTAAGTTGGAGATGCATTCTGAGGTATTTTTCTGAGCAGTATACCTCATTTTCTTATAAGGCATATTTATATGCGAAGCAGTTTGCTTTAATATGTTGTGGGCAGGGGACAGTATGTATGAGGAATAAGTAAAATAAGATAATTGTTGAAATAGAGTAACTGATACACTTGGTCCTCTCCACTATTTTATTTATAATATTTATTTATTTTTTATTTATTCATTTTTCAACATTTTTAAGTGTTCTCTATACCCAATGTGGGGCTCGAACTCACGACCCTGAGATCAAGAGTCAGCCAGGTGCCCCTATTTTTTTAAATTTAATTTTTTTTTTTTTTTTTAGTAATCTCTATACCCAACATGGGACTCAAACTCACGAGCCCAAGGTCAAGAGTTGCATGCTCTTCTGAGTTAGCCAGGTGTCCCAGATTCTCTCCACTTTGAAAACTACATATTTACCTCAACATCCTCTATAAAGCTGTAGTCCCGCATGTAGCTGCAATCCAGAAGCCCTTTCTTTTTGCTTAACTAATCAGGGCACAAAAGCGGCTGCCAGCCCCGGGCAGAGCTATGCTATACCAAAGCCCGGTGCCCTACAGAACTCACCTGCTTGGAAGGTAATTTCTGCTTCTCTTGCTTCTGCTGGTTTATCTGGGGCTTTGGCTTTTTGGGAGGGAGAGACTTCACTTTGCCTTTGTCCCGGAGCCTGAAATAAGAGGTCAAGTAAGTGTCACTCTGAGTTCTTCCTCTAACTGGCACCTCTGAGGCTGTCTAAGCCAGAAGATAAAATTCCTTTTTTAACACTGGCTCTAAGTCCATGACAAGTCATTCTAAAAAAGAATACTGTAACAGAATACCCTAAGGCTCAACATTTTGTATTTGTTGTTTCAGCTTAAAACCTCACAGGATCCTCAAAAACCTTCACTTATTTAACAAATATTTTGTAAAGACTGGCTTTTGTGGATAGCACTAATCTGTTGCCTCAAATAGGATCTGCAAGATAACCTTGAGTAGGTGGGCCTCAGCCAACAGAGACAGCCCTGCAGATGGGAGGAGGCTCTTCAGAAGAGGGAAAAAGGCACGAAGGCCTGCCCTAGAAGACTGCCCCGAGGTCTCCTCTGCTAGTGCTTCTTCCAGCCTCCTGGTGGTCCAAGAGCACATCTCTGCTAGTGTAGAGATGCCTGCACGCGAACCCCTCGTGGGGGACTGACACGGTACTAAACATCCCTTTCATCCAAACAAAAGCTACAATAAGAAAGCATTAAGTGAGAACAAACCCTTTTAGAAGCCACCGACTGCTCTATGCCACAGTCCTGCATCTCACCTGATTTTGGGGCCTCGGTGTGAGGGGAGCACCAGGACCTTCCTTCTCTTCTTTCCATCAGGCAGCTCCACCTGCTCCACTTCAGCCTTGGTCTGGAACCCCGTCCACGAGGTAGAATGCACCTTTCCCTTCTGCTCCAGGGCGGCCTTGCTTTGTTGCTGTGTGTGGTTTTGAGCTGCTTTCCGCTGCCGGTCTTTTCCAAGCACTGGCTGTTCCTGCTGGGGCTCACCGGTTGCAGGCTTGGATTTCACTTTTTGCTGCATAAAACAAGAGACTGCCATCCGGTTTCTGGATGAGGCTTATTTGCTGGAAACACTCAGCAGAAAAGGAGCTTTATGTGAGCGTAGTGAAAGCAGGGGACTTCTTCCCCTGAATAGTTACAAATTATAGGAAAGTGAATACGTAGTAACAGATGGTTACCAGTTTGGGGGACATGAAACCACTACTTCCCTCCCCATATGCAGAGACAGGGGAAAGTACATGTATGTCCAAGACTCAAAAGCCAGTAGGAACATGCCAGTAGCATGGGACAATTACCAAAGGTGTAACACGTATGTGACAGGAATCCCAGAGGGAGAAGAAATATTTGAAGTAACCGGGCTGAAAGTTTTCCAAACTTAGTGACAGATACTAAACCACAGATCCAGGAAGCTCAGCCAAATATATACCAGTAACTCAACACCCAGGCACATCATACAAAACTGCAGAAAATTAAAGACCAAGTGAAAATCTG